TTTTTAAATTTATTTTCTCACTTTTATATAAATTTTACACTTTTTAAATTTTCTTTTTTTTTTTTTTTTGAATTTTCGAATCACTTTGGTCACTTGATAGTTTCTTTCATATTTTATGTATTCGCTATTAAACTGTTGTTGTGTACGCTGGCACCTAACATAACTGACTAATTGTTAACACTCTAAGCTGTTAACTTTTAAACTATAACTGTTTTCAATTTCAATGCTCTTAAGAGCTACGTTTTAGATTTTCATGAAAGATTAATTTTAGAAAATTTACCGTTATCTGTTTATGTATGATGTCGAGCTATAGTGAAAAACACTTTTTCTCACCAAAAGCTTTCGTGAAGCTTTTGTACTAACTTGCAATCATAGGGTTTTGTTGAAAAAATAGTTTTCACGCTCTACTACCAAATTAAGCAAACAGAGACATGTAACGAAGAGAAAATTTTATTTGTGCATAAAATAAAAATGGGAATCTATGAAAAATCCTCTAATTTACCTAAAGTAGTTATATCTGAATGCTATATATTGGGTATATATATTTTATCAACGCTTAGAAGCTAGATGCAGGGACCTGAGAAAGTACATACATTCGTGATGAGCATCAAATTCTGAATCGTCCGTCTGTACATCTGTCCACTTGTCCGCCTCTCTACTTGTGTAATGACTGTTGTAAATATCCTCCTGACCGCAAAAATTCAGCCATTCAAATTGGTATTGGAAATGGGTTAAATCCGGCGAAGGACACACCCACAGTGCCACGTAAACTGAGACCATATCTGTTTTCAGAAAGAATAAAAAGTTGGTTTTTTGCTCATTACTCATCAACTACGGCAGATAAATTTACAAGAATTTGACTGCATGTTCTGTGAATACTAATGCAGTAGTTGTACAAAGGAAATAGGCAGAATTGACGTCGTCGTCTACTCAATATTAGTGTGTATCAAATTTTTATCTTTTATTTTCAATGCATAAGCAAGCATTAAAAGCAGATAAGTACTTGGCCAGTCTCAAAATCGAAATGCACTTAAGCATGTCCGTCTGTTCATCTGTCCAATTGTCGGTCTAAACAACCCTAAAGTGTCTATGGTAAGTTTTCTCTAGTAGTAGCATCAAAGTACACTCCAAAGTACACTACAGACTTACATGCCTATGCAACAAAAACACCTTTGAACACCTTTGTTTCCCGTGTGTTTTACTTGTTCTTATCCATAGAATACAACATAGACACCATATAAATTTCCATTTTTATTCTGAAAATAGAAAAAATCAGCCGCGCCCGTTCAATATTATAGAGTATGAAAATTTAGTTCTTCTCCTAACATAGAGATGGATATAAAAAATATTCGGCCCGATCGAATATAATTTTCTTACTTATTTAGTTTAAAAAAATTTGCAATATATCTGTACATAATATGTACATATATATATATATATATATATAGGTGCATATCTATCGGGTGCATAAATAAATTCTCTTTTTTAGTAAAATTTAAAAAGCGTTACAAAGCTTAATAATCGAAATATTTAACCTGATTATCTTTGATTCTTGGTCTCTTACTATTAGGCTTGGGCTGATGTCTTCGCTGTAGAAACTCTTTAGCTTCGAGGAGGAACAGTCATCGAGCGGTCTTCGCGCATCTTCAACTTTAATGAACCGCTCAATCTCATTGACCTTAAACAAGTGGTAATCAGAAGCAGATAGGTCTGGAGAAGAAGAAGACCACTTTCGGGCTTCCTCTGCCCATAAATGATTTTTTTTGCCTCAAAAGCGTCAATTAGTTTGACTATTCGAGCCAGGTTGAGTGCTTTCCAATCGCATCAACCATCCTTTCGCGGTCTAATATGCACTGAATGACCTACCGGTAGTCAGATTGAACGCTACGACAGCAGTAGAAGGAAACAAAAACTGTAGATATTAAGTTATTGTATTCTTACTGTTCATTGTACTTCGTGTGCATATATATTTTTAATTTATATAAAGTGGAAATTGAAATGTGTTCGAATGTAATAATTGCTTCGGTATGGCCGTAAGTGTTTTATCTGACAGACGAAATAAGTCTTCTTTTCCAGTATTAGGTTCGAATTAAGTATTCTTTTCCAGTATTAAGAATTTCCAGTAGACGAACATAGAGAAGAACGTAAGCTTCCTATTTTAAAATTAAAAATCATGCCTGATCACTCTGCCAGGTTAAACCCAGGCGTGACCAGGCTTACCAACTTTCCTTCTCCAATATCTCTGCAAATTTTTGTAAATTGAATCTCTCCATTCATTTAAACAGTGAGGGTAGCATCGAAGATAAACTACGAAGATAAAAATACTTATTGTTATACGTATGTATATATGTGAGGTTTGTGGCTTGGATAAAATACACACTTTACTATAAAACTAAGAAAAATCGATGAGAAAATCTTAAGAAAATGAGAAATCAGAACAGAAGTAAGAACATTATAGTCCGACTAGGCCGACTTTTGGATTCCTTACATCATTTTGCCTTGTACAATTATTCACTCATTTCAGCAATAATACACTATAAGCTATACATTATTTTCATCCAAAGGCATACTTTTCATGAAAGCCTACATGTTGAAGAATGCCTACAAATTCGTATGTTGTGATCCAAAATTAAGCAAACTGAATTGACTCCCTAAATATTTTATTACTTTTCCATTTCTGTCATCAAAAACCAGGAATTAGACTTTCCCTTTTTATAAGCGCCCCCCTATATAGGGTCACGATCTAAACGATAAACCTATGTGATCCAATTTCCGTACCGTTAAATTATTTGTTAAATTGTTGCGTATGGACCGATTTTCATCTTAATACATTAAAAATGAAACCCAAAACCCCTTAAGAGATCTGATATGAATTGGCGTCCAAGAAATAATGGTTCAAATATGATCTTAATCTAACTTAATTTTTAGTCAAATCAATTATCATGAAAAAATTTTCATTACAAAACATGAGCAATTAGGTCCTTTTGGCCTATGAGGGTTTGCATCTCTTGAAAATTCTTACATGCGGTAGTATTCAAAAAACACGCCTACGTGTTCCAAATTCATTAAGCTTGATTTCTTTGTGAATTTACTATCAAGAAACAATTTTCGTGGTGAAGTATTGAAAAATGGAGCTTTGTTACCATATAAGGAAATTCAAAAAATTGTCCCAATTGAACCAAATTTTTGATACTAATGTAGAATATCGAATGCAGAATTGACCAAGGGGTTTTGTCAAATAATTTTGAAAATCGCCCCATTTTCCACGTAAAGACTTTTCACAATAAGGCCTTGTATGTGGAGTAGTCGAAGAAGTGAATCCAAGCCCAGTATTCCAAATTATAAGGTTATAGATTGAATACTAAAATACATTGACGGACGGGCAGACAAGCGCCAAATATTGATTTTGATTCGATCAATACCATAAAAGATGTGTTTAGCTTAAGACTTTCTCGGTGTGCGCTACGTTCGCACAAGCTAAATATACCCTCTTCCACAAGTGGTGCAGAGTAAAATCATATACTCTTCTTCCACGACAACACAATGATTTGACTGTTGTTGATTTGCTCACTAGCCGAAGAAGAAGAAGAAGATATGATTTCTATCTATTTGTGTTTATATATATAGTAAAAGTTTTTTATACGCGGGATATATGTGCCGTGCGGAATACAGATACCGTGAATACGGAATGTTAATTGGATACCTATGGGAATCCTTTTATTATTATGTATGTACTTATTATATCCGCGAATAAAGAAATTTTTTAAAATTGTTTTTAATCCGCGAATAATGAAAACGCGAATGAAGGAAGCGCGAATAAGGAGCTTTTACTGTAAATATATATACATATATGTATATATATATATATATTTTAATCTTTTATGTTTCTACAATGCTATATGTAGTACAGTTATGTATGAGAACTGTTATCATGTTGGCGGCAAGTATACGTTTGATTATAAAGTTTCAACAATAAAACCTTTAAAGAAAACAAAAACAAAATTTATAATTCTTGTGATATGCTTGACTGTATGTTGTCTAATAAAATGCAATTCTCAAATGCTGACTTTTGCAACCCTTAGCGAAAGCGAGTGAGTCTCCTGCATAATAAAGTAAAATGCAAAGCGCATGACACAGTTTAATGATTTTATAGCTGATTATAGGATTAGTAGTAGATTCGTGGTAATGGTAGCATTTACTAGTCGAAGATTTACAGCGGAATGAACGAATTATAAGAAAACGTTAAGTTTTTCTTTATTTTTGTGTGAGAAGTAATTTTTAAAGTAAACTCTAAATTAAAATAATTAAATAACAAAAAAAAAAAAGAAAAGAAAAAACCCGTAAATATATATTTAAACTTTTGAATAACAATTTTTTTTTATCATATTTTGCATTGAAAGAAATTAGAAAGAAAACTTTTTTTTTTGCTTGGTTCTGGCACATATGTATGTGTGTAACAAAGCATTAAAAAAAGAATATATGTATATATATATATACATGTCTAGAATATTATGGAATTATCTTAAACAAATTTGATAGAAAAAAAGAAACTTTTTTTTTAGTAAACAACAATTAAATTAGAAAGAAAAGCTGGTATAATTAAATGTTAAATAAAAGGGATAAAAAATAATCCTTTAATCGGAAAGTAAAGTATAATAAACGCATGAGAGTGATTCATACTTGCTTGCTTGCTTTGCTTCGGACATGAGAAAAAAAATTCTTCTTGCATATAACCAACTACGTAGTAAATGAAAATAACAACAACAGCAACAGCAACAGCAACAAAAATAATAAAGATTCATCGACAACAGCAACAAATTATTAGTCCTTTTATTGTGTATACCCTTGCGATACAAGGGATATTAACAACGAAAACATCAGCAACAGCAACAACAAGAAAAACAACAACAACGGAAAAGAATCTGTACATTGTCGTCACTCCATCAAAAGCAGAGTGAATTTAGCAGAGTTATTTTACTCACCGAGAGATAGAGAGAGAGGGAGCGAGAGCAAGCAAGTAAAAGCAAGTGAAAAACGAAACGTTATGTGTAACTATCAAAAACCTTAGCATACTCTACGGCTTTTTATTGATTTCAAGTGTACAGTAAAGCCAAGAAGCAAAAATCTATTTATGACATGAAAATATTTTATTAAAATTTGTTTTTCAAATATTTCAATTTCCTCTTAATTTTTAGAAATTGTGAACCTAAAAACAAATCGAAAAATATACTCATCCCAAACGAGAACGAAAATTCTTAAAATAATAAAATAGTTTAACATTTTTTTTTTTTTGTTTGTTTTTAAATAAAATCAATTTCTTACAATGGGTGACGAATATACTCCGGATATAAGTGCTATGACCACAAGTAAGTTAAATAAAATATTTATGCATAATATTTGTTCATATTTATCTTGATATTTTTATAAAATCTGGTATAAATCTTTAAAATAATGGTATATGTATCTATACATACATATATTTTGTGCGTGATTCATTTAGCGTCATATCATGAAAACTTAAATATGCGTTGAAAAAAAAAACCAAATCTTAGGTAAAGAAAATTCTCTAATAAGTTCGGAAAATGGTGATGTGTAAACGGCTAAGCGCTGGGCAATGAAGAATATTTTGAACCAATTCTTAAATTTTACTAACCTACCAAAGGCTAAGATTACCTCTTATTAGGTGCATAAACAACTTCGCTCCGTTGAAATTGGTCTCTTCATAACGTGCACCTGACGAAATTTCAGGCGTAGATGACTTGGATATTGATGTTCGAATGGTTTAAGTTTCAGTTGTGTACAAGTTATCGTTCAGTGTATTTATTACCAAAGTTTGAAAGATGGACGTTATCTGCGGTAGTGCGTTTGTCTGTAGGGTTGATTGGATTGGACCGGAAGAAAATGCAGCTGAAGCTACGGAAGTGATTAATTTGGCTTAGAGAGAGATTTTGTGCAAAAAAATTGTCGTCGTTGGTTACACGTACGGAGCTTGTGCTGCACACTCTATATATTGTCCAGGGCGGGCTCTTTCCGATTATCGTCTACTCAAGTCGATACAGTTATACTTAGCAGATCGCTGGGTCATAGAAGTTGAAGATGTGCGAAAATGGTTCATTGATTGTTTCGTCTCCAAACCAGCAAGTTTCCGCAATGAGGTCATCCATCAGCTACCTGATAAAACGCAAAAGATGCTGATGCATATCTTGATCGTTAAGCTTTGTAGCAATTAATTATATTTTAAATATATACTGAATTTTGTCAAAGAACGGAAGAAACGCTTACGCGCATTACTTTGGTTCAATGTTGGTCTTTTTTTTTCAACAATTCGATCACTTTAGGTTTATGCTAAAGAAAAAAATCTTTCTTTCCTATTTAGTTGAAATAGTTAACAATGGTAAGATTTGGATGCAAAAAAATGCTGCATGTCTGCATATATAAAAATTCTGGAGAAAATACACAAAGCAATGGTTTTAGTTAAGTTTGTACACATTCGTGGATATGCTGCTTTACAACATAAGCAGTGTTAATGTTAGTTAGCAGACTGCTGTAATAATCCAGTCAATGTAAAAAAAATTTCTAAGAACCGGATGTTGTCTCTGCATTTGATCACATCTAAGAGTAATTCAAAAATAATTTGGTCACATGTGAGAGTAAGCGTCTGAATTTGATCACATCTGAGAATAATTGAAAAAGTTAGTCTGTATTTGTTAACAGCTGTTGCATTGAAAAAAACGACTATGAATTTGGTCATATATGAGAATAATTGAAAAAGTTAGTCTGTACGTGTTTACAATTGAGAATAATGCAGAGTTTAATTTGTAATTTACAGTTAGCGATTGTTCATGAAAAAAGTTTTATTAAAAAATTCAAAATGTTTCTAATTTAATGACCAGTAAAAGTCAAACAAGCACTAGTACGACTTGCCAGGCAACCCAATAGTTTAGACTTAAACGTTCCTTCTTCGATCTTAATTGTCTCTATCTACAATAAGGAGTCGTTAAGATATTTATTTAGCATCGTAGAACTAAGTGTAGTCTTGTTAGACAATATCCGATAACTGATCAGCAGTAAACACTTTCCAAGTATAATCTTTAAAACTTCTTCAAACTTAGATGACTTGTAAGAAAAGCTTTCGTTACATTTTCATAGATTTGTGCACAACAGTAGATCTGCTTCGTGAAAATTGTAACTAGAAGTTGAATGTGGCAAGAATATGGGCAATGAACGAATAGTCGTTCTATGTCCTCGTAATTTTTTTTTTTTTTTCATACAAAAATTGAGTTTTCTTGTCTGCAATTGCTTTAGCGAAATTTAACTTCCTCTTGTCCACATATACGGTTCCATCTTTAGCCCATAGTACTGCACAGATAATCGCATAACTCACGATACAATGAAGTATGGCGCCGAGTGGCCAGGAAAGCCGAAGACTTTCGAAAATGTTAGCATCGGATAAGAACAACAGATATAATGAATTGCATTTCTTCTGACTGACTGAGATTATTTCCATTTGGGAAAGGAAAGGGGTCTTTAGTTCAAAAAACTCTGGCCAACAATTCTTAAAGGTATCAAGACAGGACTTTCCGTTTACTTTAATGCTTCGCAGATTATAATCGGATTATCTAAAACAAGTAAAAACATTATATTGGGACACGGCCTACCATTAAATACCCTACATCATTTCTTTTAATACATTCATATAATTTATATAACGATTTCTTCAAATGGGGCTTTATAAGTGGACTGAACGAAAAGTTGGTCCGCTCTGAAACATTTTCAATAGCGATCGTACTCGTACATGTCAAAGGCTTATCAAACTTCATGAAAATATCTGAAAAATGGGTAGAGAAAGTTAGATCGCGATCAGTATAGTAAAAGGCGGGTCTATTTCAAGTGCTTCTGGGTATTGAATACATCCGCGCAAACTTAATATACTAGTGTAGGATGTAATAAGCTCATAGAGATGATGACGATCCTATAAGTATTACCAGGTATATAAAGCTTCTCAGTATTAGAAGTAACTAAGTTGGAATCGTCTCTCTTCTTACGAATCGCTTTTGAATATGGAAACTTTCGCATAAACTAAGAACTTGAGAAAAATACAACGAATGTTATTAGGGATGGGGCAAATTCAAAGGAGCTTCTTATCAAAGATAAACAATGAGATCTTTTTCGTTCTCTTCGAGGGCCGGGTAACGAAAGCAATGAATTTTCTAATTTCATTTTATTGACTTGATCGTGGTTTCATTTCAGATCGTGACGCTGTCGAAGTCGTCATCTATTGACTGGTGAACTAATGTTTCAGAATCAGAGGCGAAAGACACCTGATTAGTTCACTTGCTGACAAAACTTTTAGTACAGGGGCCTAAAATTGAGTCTACAGGTTTAATTTTCGTAAGAATACTTTTCAGATAGTTACCTACGCAAGGCAAGGTGTCTTAATCAGTGAGTAGGTTTCGTTAATCCGTCCAATATACCAAACACAAGCACTTATCTAAACTGACCTTTCGTGCAGTAGGTTCGGCAGTACGTTCCGTTCAGTATTGATAAATTTTTTTTAAAAACCTTTAACTTTAAATATATTAAAGATTACATATTTTTTTAATACTTATCCGCATCTTATTAATTTGTTATTGTTTTTGCTTGAATTTTTGCAGTTCTTCCTGCTATTTTAGGCATTATATCGGCGGCCGCTCTATGGGCCGCCGCTTGTATATGTGCCAAGCAAATGCGTGCTCGTAATAAGAAACAAAATCATCACGATGCCACATTTCCTTTCCAACCAACACGACGTCCGACAGCAGTTCGTTCACCTAGTGGTCAGCCGCCACATTACCTTAAGAAATCCCCCTCTCCTACCAGTGGTAAGCAGTTGGGCATTTTACAGCCGGTACAAGATCAAGCCATCTCTTCTCCCGTTACACCACAAGCGGTGAAATATGTAGAAGAGGATGAAATTCAAAACAAGCATAAATATAATGGCGGCGAGAAACGCTCGCCATTAGAAAGTAGGAGTCCTCAAGCGAACGGCAATGTTGGCAAATCCGTTAATAACGGACACAAAATGGTAGCAATGCATGATTCAATTTCAAGCAATGGCAGCAATGACTTAAATATGGAACAATTTGGTAAATTGGGTACAATTTTCTTTAAATTACGTTACTTGGCTGAACGCAATGCGTTAATGGTCTCGATAATACGTTGCCGTGGCTTGCCATGCAAGAGTGGCGCTAGCAGCAGCACTGCAACAAATGGTCATAATGGCTCGACTGATATACCAGCTGGCATGAATGGACGCACACAGGCAGCAACGGATCCTTATGTTAAATTGCAATTATTACCCGATAAACAGCATAAAGTCAAGACACGCGTAGTGCGTAATACTTGTAATCCCGTTTACGATGAAGATTTCACTTTCTACGGCTTGAATATTAACGATCTTCAGAATATGTCATTGCATTTCGTTATACTCAGCTTTGATCGGTATTCGCGTGATGACGTTATAGGTGAAGTGGTCTGTCCATTGTCATCCATTGAAATTGGCGACATTTCGAAGGAGGCTTTATCAATTAGCAAAGAGATTCAACCACGTAGTTTGAAGATCAGAGCACAGGGCCGCGGTGAACTGTTGATCTCGTTATGCTGGCAGCCGGCTGCCGGTCGTTTAACTGTTGTGCTCTTGAAGGCTCGAAATTTGCCACGCATGGATGTTACCGGTTTAGCTGACCCGTACGTTAAGATCTACTTACTGTACAATGGTCAACGTATTGCCAAAAAGAAGACGCACGTTAAGAAGCGCACATTAAGTCCAGTATTTAATGAAAGCTTCGCTTTCGATATACCAGCTACTGAGGTGAGTTTCTCTATAGCAAAGCAGATACAAAGAAATAGGGAAAGACGGAGAAAGGATGGAAGACAAATAGACAGGGAGAGAGAGAGAGAGAGAGAGAGAGAGAGAGAGAGAGAGACAGAGAGGGGTAAATGGGAAAGCGATTATCCACAATTTTTAGGGAGATTTCTTCTGTGACCGATCACTTCCCTATACGTGTTGCACACAGTTATGGTCAGGAAAAAGGGAGGAAAAAGAACAGAAATAGTCGGTGGCGGTAGCGTAGAAGGTACTTACCTTTACCGACTGAGCACTCACTACAGTTACGATCAAGTTGTGTTTTCCGCACTGAGTTTTGCACCCGCGAATAGCTGAAAGGGTCTTTGTCGTTGCGACAACTATACAGCCGCCTGACTGGCCTTAAGAGACCAGCCCGAATTTCTTCGAAATTAAGCGGAGAGTCTATCCCCAGATTCCCTTGGCCGTTTTGTTGTCTTCTTTCTTTCTGTGTGTTTCGTTGCCTTTGTTACCTACTTTGCCGCAATGTCGCCGCGGAAATCTGTCTTCATTCTGTCGATATAGTTCATCGCAGGGGTGACCACTTAAATACTTATTTACTATGATGTAACTCTAAGCCTGATTATATCTACTGGTTTAAAATGAAGATTTTTATAAATGTTTGCTTTAGGGTACTGGAGCAACTTTAGAAGGTGTTTCGTTGGAACTAATGCTCTTGGATTGGGATCGTGTTACCAAAAATGAGGTGAGTTTGTTGCAATAAAATTGATATCACAATGAAAATTCTTGTATTTATTGAATTTGCTTTTTTTAGGTAATCGGCAGACTTGAGCTTGGCGGACCAAATTCAAGTGGAACCGCCCTAAACCATTGGAACGAAGTATGCAATTCACCCAGAAGACAAATTGCCGAATGGCATAAACTGAACGAGTAAAAAAGATGAAATCTTAGAAATCAAGAGAAGAGAAGTTAAAATATCTCTTGAAAAGCATGAAAAAAAAAAGAAAAAAGAATTTATGTTAAGCAACAAAAAAAAAAAAAAAAAAAAAGAAAAGAATAATTACAGTAAATATACATGAACGTACATATATTACAGAGATTTGTACACAAACCCACAAAAATAGTAATTCACTATACACCAATTAAGACGTACTAATACTCACACACACTCACACACATATACACACACTCACGTAGTTTCATATATACATATAAAGGAAAAGCTTTTATGTAAGAGCAACTCAACCAATGTCATTGATATTAAAAGATTTCCCAAAAAGAAAAAAAAAAATAAGAACAAAACAAAACAAGAATCTCAAATCTCCAATAATAAGCAAAAGATAAATAAATAAATAAATAAAAAACGGAGAGAGCGGAGAGCGTAGAGAAGAGAAAAGCTTTCTCTTAAAAAAAAAAATGTAAAGAGAATGTAAGAAAAGTAATTAGAAGGGCGAGAGAGAGAGAGAGAGAGAGAGAGAGGAACATAAATGAAAGGAGAGAAGAACGTGTGTTGATTGGTTGATAGGCGAGGATAGTGACGATCTTAATATTAGCAAAAAGTATTAAAAAATTTAAAAAAAAAGTAAATATATTGAAATTTGATTTTGTTCTCTCTCTTGTTTCGATTGTAATCGTATATCTATTGTATTATAAATCATTATATATTTTGTGTATGTGTAAGTGGTTTAGTAAAAATTTTAGTCTTAGTCTGGATATAAGACAACCATTTTTAAAAAGTATGAAATATTTACTAAGTATATATATATATATATATATATATATATGCATATATGATGATGATGGTAGTGATAACAAGAAAGAGAGAAAGGGAAAGAGAAAGAAAAATGGAAGGGGTGGAGCGAGAGGATATATTTTATATGAATTATTTTTGAACCTTACCTTACCAGATCTTAAATGCTATTATATAAGTTCATATCTACTTAGTAAGACGAAGCTATTCGCCGTAAGGAATAAAGAGTACAGAGTAAGGATATAAAAATAAGAATGAATTAAAAAAGTTTGCCATACTTTTCAAGAACGCCATTTCCATCTTTCGAGTTATTCTAGTTCAGAATGATTTGTAGTTTTTACCATTTTTTTTTTTTTTTTTTTGATAAGAAGGCTGAAGAGTGACAGCAAGCAGGCCATGGATGGATTGTGAAACAGTTTTTGCTCAATCATAATTAATAAGATGTTATTTTAAAAGTCGATAGATGTATGCACATTAGCACGGCTTCGAAAAGAACAAGTATCAAGTCAATTATCTATGGGAAAGTTATTGAAGCAAGATTTTCGCCATTTACATTCTCTCTCTGTGCTCAAATCTCGGATTACATATTAAAGCTTTCGTTCAAAATGAGTCGTGCTTGGCTAAATTTGTTTAAAGAAAATTAAATTTATTTCGAAAAAGTTTTCGTTAAATTTTTTCAAGGCATTTGTGAATTGGGTTTCTTTAAGAAAATGTTGAAAATCGTTTCGTGTGTGTTTCTCCGACTAGACATATTCTTCTTCTTCTTCTTCTTCTTTGGCAGATGGGTGCCCTTAGCTTCCGTTACCTAGTATCATGCTGAACATAAATTACTAGCAGGCGAATAAATAGCAAAGTTTACTAACAAGGAAAATAATTAGTAAAAATTATTATTAATTTTTTTTCTTTTTTTCTAATTAAGTATAGTTATTCTTTTTAAGTTTTTTTTTCACATATAATGGTTTTTCTAATTTATGAAATAATAAAAGTACAAATAATTTAAAATTTACTCAAAAAAAAAAAAAGAAAAGACAAATTGAGTTTATTTACTTAATGAAATCATTTACAGTTAAGTCAGTGAAAATAAAGATTACTTAAGAGAATAAAATAATTTAAAAAAAACAAAAAAAAAAAAACAAAAGAAGAAGATATAGATAAAAATTGACCTCAACTCTTTGGTAAGCAAGATTTCTATCATAATAAAAATATAAATAAATCAATAAAATATAATTGAAAAAGATATTTGCAAAGCTTAGCTTAAAAGAAGGTAAAACTTTAGATTAAAACAAAGAAAACAAACTACAAGATAAGAGACATTAACAGACAACACATAAAACTTTAACTCAAACATCACGGATGCTTTCTTAAATCTGCTATAAAATGCAAAACTAAGAATAAATTTTTCATCCGCAACTCCATCGAGCACATCTGTAGAGACACCGCAACTATACTATACAACTTTTGTATATCTTTCTTATACGTCCTAAACACTTTTCCATCACATATGTTCGCTTTGTTCGAAAAAAGTTCTTCGTAATCTATCATCTCGGGATCGAAGAATGTGAATTCTTAACTGTTTCCGCTGCATATTTTGCGGAGCAAAATAATTGTATGAAAAAACGAATAGATAATAAAGAGCAAATAATGGCAAAGACGGTTAGTTAGTTATTAAAATTTGATCTCCGAAGGCATTACTAACTCACATATTTATATATTTGTAAAGATTTATTTATGCTCACCTGTCCCTTGAATTTTTAGTCGCTTAGATGTGAAAGAATTGAGATAGATTGCTCGACTTATTTATATCCGCATAACTGTTCTTTTGTCCGTCTGTTCTTTCTTTAGTTCCTTACCCGGCCTGATTTACTTGTGTTCGCCTAATCTGTCCGTCCGTCCATCCGTTCAAAAACTCGATTTACATGTGTTCGTATAACCATTACGCTGTCCGTTCGTCATTTCAATTTTTAGCTTCTTTCGTCAAAAAAATTACGAGAAGATGCTTAATTTACTTATGTCCGTTTTGCTCTCCTTCTGTCCTTTTGATTTTTATTCATCCTGACAGAGGAAAAGTCTAAATAAAATTTGATGAAATTTGGTATATAAGTTTGTAGACATATCATATCCACTTAAAAAATTTATTTTATTCACTGAAAAGTTGAAGAACAACCAAACTGAAAAAAACCGCTGAACAATTGTGAGACCATCGAATCCATCGATCTCGAATTTCATGCAATTGTCTAATAAAGACCTTTCCCGGTGGAAAAACGAAGAGGCCATAATTGTGAGGAAAGCTTTGCCTTTGCTCAACTACAGAGGGCCCATAATTAATTAGAATTAATGAAAATTTTTTTTTGAAAAATTGTTAAGAGGTTATAATGCTTGCATATACTGAAGAAAAGTCTGCCGAGTGTCAAGGAGAAGAATCAAGAACTGACCTGCAACTTTGATAAAACGATCATACGATCATACTGCTTGAAAATTTTACTTGAATAAGTAAACTTGATTTCTTATTATACGCAGATAAAAACCAGAAACTCGTATAACAAACCATAGACTCACCTACAACTTTCCGAGCTATTTTATAGGCACAACTTAATTCATCAAAGGTTATTTTGATATTAATAATTGAATGATTGTTAAAATTTTCAAAAATAAAAATAAAAAAAAAAAGCAAAAAAATATTCAATGGGAATCAAAACTGTGTCTGTACTCCTGCTAAGGGTATACTAAAAAAGTAAATTTGGTCAACCATTCCAACCAATTTTGAACATATTCAAAGCAAAGCGAGAAATCATTCGACCCAAAGTGCAGCTTCCCACAATGAGCTTTGGTGAGCTTAAAAGAAAAAAAAAGAAATGCTAAGTAAAGTTCAGTTTGTTGCTTAATGATGCAATATCTTGCTGTTAAGTAACTATCCGTGTTTACGTTACCCTATAATCACTGATAACTAATCCAAGATAATCACAGGTCGTATTTGCTTTCAAGACAGGAGGACTCATCTATGAGTTCGTTTTTAAATAGAGAAAAATAAAATAAACAAACCTATGATAATACTCTTCTTCTTCTTTTGCAAGTAAACGAGCATCGAAAAAGTCCTGCGCTTTAATATCTTAAGCGAATGTCTCTTTCTATAATCGCAAGGCATAGGATAATAAAGCACATCCCCCTGAGTAGCCGAAATCGAGGAATCTCGACTAGCAAGTCAATGGTTGTTGGGTTCGAATCTCAAGTGCGGTGAAGTTTTTAATAAAAGCCGATAGCCTTAGATGCTAGTGCTCTTAAGAGTTTAGTCTTAGAATTTATTTCTCTGGCGAACTTAATAATAATAATAATAATAAATATAATAAGGAGTAGGTGTCCCTGAATTCTATAAATGAAATCAAGTTCTTTCACAAAGTTCTTTCTACTCTTCTCGACTTGAAAAGCGTATTGCTTTTGCAGTCCTATTGCAGATAGGGAATTAGGAAAACCTAATTACGCAGCCCGTTCTCCCTTCTTCCAATTGGCCTCAATAGTCAGCTTATTTGAAAATGGACGTTCGATTTACAATCTGGCAGTTCTCGATCTTCATATTTCCGCAATACATAGTTTCACGTGAACACACGCTTACGACTTTACCTTTCAAACTCTTATACGAAAACTAAGGAATCGAGCAGATACTCCTTAAGTAGCCATAGAGAAGTACTTCATGATGTTGTTTATGGTAATGAGTGTAATTACACATACATATATACACATATATAGACACGCACACCTATTGCTATATATACATATATACATGATAATATATAAATAATGATCCCTCCAATTAAGAAAATAATAGTTATTCGTAATAGAGAACAACAAGTAATTATTGTGTATTAAATTGAGAAGAAAAATACCAAAAAAAAAAAAAGAAAAACAACAACATCATCAACACGAAGAAGAATAGTAACAACAAAAACATAAAGTAAGTAAAAAATCAAAGATGACATCTTTTTAATTTAGGAGCACATACGCCTGAGAACGCTTAAATTGGTCTGACAATTACCCTTTCTGCGATTTACTTACTCATACTAGTTAAGCGGAAATGTATTTCTTTAAAAGACGTTCGCGTAAAACATAAAAATACAAAAAAAAAAAAAAAAAAAAACGGATATAATGACGGAAATGAATTTTCAATTAAGCTAAATGAAAAAATATTTTCTGAAAATATTTCAAAAAAAATTAAACTTTATTACTTAAATCAAGGAAATCAGAAAATTAAAGATGACAAAAAAATCACATAAACTAATTGTAAGAAAAAAAAAAAACAAAAATAAAAACTTTACCTCCAAAACAATCAATTGTACTGAAATGCATTAAAGAAAGGTCCTACACTCAAACATACACACACGCACACGCACACACACACATACCAACTACATATTCTTATTACAACATCAATTTTTATGAAAACATAATTTTTTTTTTTTTTTTATTAAACTAAACAAAAATTTTTTTTAATTAAAAAAAAAAAAAAAAAAAAAAATGATTTATGTCCAGCCATAGCTGGTTCTCTTAATTTGTCACGGGAATATCTTATTCCATATAAGCTTGTGTAGCCCGTTTCCAACATTTTTTTATGCCTGCTGTCGTGAGAGATAGAGACACGTATACGCCGTGCTTGTCATTCCGCTTATATCAAATATATCATAAATCGTATCTATCTATATCTTAGCTTGATTAGCTGATCTGACGTTTACCTACGTGTCTCCGTTGCTGAATCGCCTACGATTGAGTCGAAACGCCGTAATTAGTGTGTTCTTAGCGCAGGCCCACCGATCGAGCTTGACGATAACAGA